ATAAAAGTATCTTAGTTACTCAAAATTATCTTAGATACTTTCATATAGTATCTTAGATACTTTCGGATAGTATCTTAGATACTTTTTATAATCTTGTAACTAAAGATACTTTTAACTCAAAGTATCTAGTTACCAGAGGTAACTAAGTTATTTTGTTTAAAGTATCTTAAAAAAGTAACTTGATACTTTTCAGAAGTAACTTATATAAAAAATTATTTAATAGTAAAATTTTTTATCGGGTTATATGCAAGTATGTGTAATTATTGTTGTTTTATTTTAATATAAACTACACTGTTTAAAAGTTTCACTAATTTATTTAAATATGACAATTGTTTCGCTACACAGTAGCATCTGTGCTACTGTGTAGCGAAACAATTGTCATATTTAAATAAAATAGTGAAACTTTTAAACAGTGTAGTTTATATTAAAATAAAACAATATTAACATGGAGTTTCATCAAGTAAAAGTCGAAACAATTAATTATGTAATTATTGTGTTTTAATCAGTATTCGTTCTAGTGTCAATTATTTTAAACAATTACTTTTGGCTTCCGTTTTTCTTTTATTTAAATATAACAATTAATTTATTGATTAAATATGTGTGACGGTAAAAATAATTAAATGTAAGTACCATGTTATTATTTAATTTAATAAAAACAAAGCAACGTGAGTATTTACCAAAAAATAATTTTGTTTAAACGAATGCCGCGCAACAAAATTTTTTTTCGGAATAAAAACTTAAATATCTAATATATATATATATATATATATATATATACATATATGTATAGAGAATTTGAATTGCTTGTTTCAAAGATATAAATTGATTGATGTATTAAAACCTAAATTCTTAACGTGATATATTTTATATTTTATATAATCTCATCAGTAGTAGACTACGCCCCTTTAGTGTCAACCTAATTGCTTACGAAAAGCACGACCAAAATAATCTCATATAGAGAACATGCACAATGTTTATATATATATATATATAGATATATCTCCATTGTTTTATAAAACAGTTTTAATTCAGGGCCAATGTTTCGTATAAAATTATGGTTTGTATTATTATTTGTTTCGTATAAAATTATGGTTTGTATTCATGATAATCAGCGTAATCAAAGAAGAGGTATAAAATTATAGTCAGCATGGCACGGATGGTCCAAACTACTTCTCACCGGGGCGCCAAAGGAAATGGTTAAAAAAAGTAAATTAGTTTGTGACCAATTAATTTAATATATGTTTTTAATTAAAAAACGTTCGATTTTGATAAAAGCAGTTTAAAAGAGGCATCAGTTGTTAGTAAGAAAGATCTTCTTTGTTAAGTAAGGTACGCGGGCCGCACCCACCCAACCCACGCATTTAATGTTTTAATTTTCTCGTATACCCATATTGTACCTGTCTTAAACATTGTCATAAACTCCAGCGGGGCCTTTTATAGCCGTTATTAAGTTTATTTATTAATATAACCATGGGAAAAATAGGCAGACATATATTGAATTCTTTTTTGGGTAATTTTAACAATTATTGCAATTAATAGAAAGAAAATTTACTTTTTGTCAGAATATTAACAATTACATTAAAAAAAGGTTTTGTTCGAGTTACAAATATAATTTTAACTGTAAAGGTAAAAGCATATTAATATTGGACAATTAAAAACTGAATATGGTGTGCCTTAGGGTGCTGTACCTACTTGGTCCTATTATTTTCAACTTATACATCAATGATATAATTTATTATGTCAAGGTTTGTAAATTACATATGTTTGCAGGTGATAGAATGATATAATGTATAAGGAGCTTCTCTGCAAAACGCAGTTTTTGAATAAAATTATTATTTTTATTTTCAATTAGTCTATCTGACAGTTAAATTTTATATCGATCGTTGTGAGAACAATGGTATCCATGGAAATTATCTACCAGATAACTAACTGCAACTTTAACTGGACATTGATAAACCGGCCCTCAGTGCATTAAAAATAATCTTAAATTATTGTATTCTTGGTTCTGTGATAATAATTTATGTTTAAATTTTGGTAAATCCAAATATAATATATACATATATATATGTATATATATATTGAAAGGTAAAAACTATGTTTGGAAATTATAGACAATGTTTTAATTGAAAAAGTTCATAAAATTAATTATCTTCGAGTGAACATAGACGATTAAAGTCATTATTTACTAATAAATATTACCTATACATTAATTTTAATTAATGTATAATGATAACAAAATTTATAATAAAATCAATTTTATTGAAAAAGTTCATAAAATTAAATATATTCGAGTGAACATAGACGATAAAAGTCATTATTTGCTAATGAACAAAATGTATAAAAAATCAATTTAATTAAGAGAGTGGGTAACTATTATTGTACCTGACAACTAAAATTTTATTGTATAAGTCTATTATAGCACCAAACTTAGATTATTGAATACCGATACGGCATCGTATTTATATAGAAAATTAAAATTGGTAAATAATATTTACAATATGAACACAATACAAGAGCTGAATATAATTTTTATATAAATAGTTGCATGACAATTTTTATAGTGGATATATTATTTATTACCTACCTAACTTACCAGTGATAATAAATATGCCTCTAATTATTTTAAATCTTATAAAAGTTATTTATCTTTATTTGTTTATACAAACGTTTAATTTTAATTTGATACTTTTTTATGTAAAAAACTGTCCTACTTTTATAACTTTTGACGACATTTTCGGATTCAGGGGACAATTTTACATAAGAATTATATTAAATGTTGGGGATACATGCATGTATCCATGGTATAAGTGAAAAAGCAGTCACTAATAACTGTAGTACCACCTAATTACCTAGTCATTTTTGACTAATTCATTTTTAGAGAGGTAAAAATGCCATGATTACAAATTTACAAAAGTGCAGCATCGGCACCCTCAATATGGCGCTGCGAGAGTGTTATTCTGTAAAATGTTATTATTAAAAATTTAAGATGAAAATTTAAAAAAACTTATTTGGATTGCAGCATAATTTTCTAGAGAAGGTATTTTCTAGAAATATTTACTTCTGGCGAGATGAAAATCCACATACAACCAAAGAACAGAATTTCAAATTTAGTTTTAACGTTTTTGCATTGATAAAGAACAACACACAGAAAATTTTATCAATAATGAGGAATTAATTGGTCAAAAATATTTAGAAATTGTCAGTGGTTGCTGGTGGGATTTTAGGTTGCCAAATTTATAAAAATAGGTACCTAAATAGATAACGCTTTTTGATGTTTTAGGTGAGATAATAAATAAGCAACTTTTAGGTGGTAAAATAATTTAATTTATTATTGTATAAAATTCTATTGAACAAAATTTTTATAATTTCAAAGATTTTAAAATAACTGACGTAAAAATATTATAATTCCATCATAAATTTTATAATTTTTTAATGCGGCGTCACATTCATTATGATAGAATAGTATATTCTGTAAGTTTGGAATACGGCATATTCCGCTCGAGTGAAAAATTTGTCACACGAGCCGAAGGAGAGTTTTACGGTTTCACGAGAAGGCAATTCCAAACGTGTTTCAGACTATACTTATTCTACGTTTCCAAAAAAATACCATAGAAAAATAATTTAATTGGGAGAAAGTGATGTTGGATCGGTCTAAAATTTGTTAGATATTAAAAACAGAGATGTGGACACCAGTGTTTGTTCTGTCATCCGATGATAGAATATTTTATTCGCTTTACGGAATATATGTCATTCCATATATAATAGTGATATTAGAACGGTCATATTCCGTAATAGGAGTAAAAAAATTTGTTGGAATTTGTGAAAATACATGAGATTTTTAAATAAAACATGATGACATGAGATCTCATGCAAAAGCATGAGACCTGGCAACATTGCACAGGAATGTCACAGTACCAAGTTGGTACTACCAACCACTCCCAACCAACCCTCATTACCAATTTTTACAGCAAAAATAACTACATGGTGCATAAGAATTATGTCATCCGAATACGACAACCCCAATATTACAAAAAGCATGTTTTTGATGGTAAAATTAAAAAATTTCGTTTATTTCTATTAAAAATTCTTATTATTATATTTTATTTATTTTAGGTGAAATAGGTAAAATTACACTAGTTTAGGTAGTAAAATGTAAAAATAAGGTCCATTTCTGTTGAAAATAAAAATTTAGGCCAAAAAGGTAAAATAAAATCAGGCTCAAATGAAATCATTTTCTTCCAAACGGATTTAATTCCATTGCACCTAAAGTTATGATTAGCGTAGACAAAAAGGTAATAACACTGAAATCCCAGCTCTACTGATTTCATAAAAAATAAACCGTTAAATGAAGTTTTAGAAGGCTGGTAGTCTAGTTGACCAGTTTAGTGTAGGGAAGATGTGAGCAATGAACTATACCAAATGTTTTAAGACAAATGGTTTCGTCTTTTGTGTCCGTCGCCATAGCCTGCAAGATCTCCAACCTGTCACTTTTAAATTTTTTTTAATTTTTTATTTATGGGGCACTATAAAAAATAAGGTGTACTTTAGTGTTATAACACTACTAAGTGCACTTGTAAACATTTATTAAAAGATAGGTAATTGTTATTTAAAATATTGTTGGTTTATTAAATTGTACCTAATAGTTACGCATTATTTTTGTTATTAAGCTTCGTTGATTGCTTATTTTTTTCACAAAATCATTAAACACTGTTTGTAATATACCTACTTATAAATTTTAAAAATGTTGGGTTGTGTCATAAATGTAATAAGTCAACGACTGCTATTTTGTATTAGTAATTTTGCTAACAAATCATTTATAACAATCCGTATCAGAATGGATACCGTCGTATTAACTTACCCGTAAAACTTCACAGGTTTGTTAATAAAAAATCGAGGGGTTATTCACTAGAAAAAAAATGTGACAAGATTTCGAATTTCAAACGATTTTAAGCGATTTCGAGTGATTTCGGAGGATTTCGAATGATTTCGGAGGATTTCGAATGATTTCGGAGGATTTCGAGAGATTTCGGAGGATTTCGAAGGATTTCGGGAGATTTCGGCGATTTCGACACTGTGAGTAGGGATTTCGTCCAACTTTACAAAATTATTATCAAGTCTAAAAATACCTAGTAACGTATTACATATTTTAAGCCTACTAAAAAAACCTTATTATCTAAATACCTACTTTTTTAAACCACTCCTTTCAGAATATTCTCATCTTAATTCTCATATCATAAGTGGGAGTGTGTGTAATAGTATATTCGAGAGTATATTAAATAATGAACGTTGACAGTGACATTTTCCACACAGTGTGGAATAATTTAACAATGTTTTATAATGCAAAATGAACAAAACAATTCCATCCTTACTTACATTAAAAATTCTTAGGACGAAAAACTGGGCTGGGGTTGTGTTGGGTTAAAGGACAATAATATATAGTATGAAAATGATATGATATAATAAATTTATTAAAAAAGTACCTATCCATAATAAAATACACATAATAATAATAATAATAATTAATTGAAAGTTTTATGTAATTGCATTTAATTTAATAACAAATTAATTTTCTCCAGATCCGAGCTCAGATCTATGTTATGTGGATCAAATATAAAATAAAAAACCTGAATACGCTCCTGTTTTATTAATTTGGTAAACATTACGATCGGTCTTCCGCCCACACCCCGGCATGCCCGGTAGTAAAATTTTACGGATAAAATTTTTGATTTTTATACGAATGTTTTTTTATTGGAAATTTCTTAAGTTGCATTAATTTTTTAGACCACGAGCCGCTAGGCAAGTTTTAAATTAATGCTATTAGCGAAATTTCCAAAGAAAAGTCTTGAATAAATAAAAATAAAAAAAAATTTCAGGAAATATTTTATCACGAGTGGTATTCGGTAAGACTATTTCACGAGTATTTTTTTTTTAAATTAGAATTAACTCCCGATTCAATTTCTGTATGATTTTTTTGACCAAAACGCATATTTTTTTTGTAAAGTAGCTGCGAAATGGTATAAAAAATATAGTAAAAAAAATTAGATGCCCGAATGGTAATTGACAAGACTATTTCATGAGTAACAGTTATTCTGCATTCACATAGCTTACAAAACATACTATCTATTATACAATGTATATATATAATATACATCGATATACATGCATACATAATAAATATGTAGGTAGGTATTAATTTGAAAACTGAAAATTAGGTAATTTATTTAATCACAAAATACTACAAACGTAATTATTTATGGTACTATTAAAATATAAATTGCAATTTTGGTGACAACAGCTGTCAAGTTTTGCCGTGGGTAAACTCAAAAAAACTGCTGGCAGGTGGTGTCATGCAGTTTTTCCACCTAGAAACCATTTGTAATTCAAAAATACGCGTTTGTTATTGGTGGAAATTAAGAAGAGGAAAAACCATTCGTTTCTGAAATCTGATTGGTCCATAAAGTAATGAGTGGAATAGTCGCTGCAAAACTGAAAAAAACACTCGTTTAATACTCATTTTTACTTATTTGTAATACAGTCACAAAAAAACACTGAAGGCAAATTCCAAATTCACACCACTAATTTATCACTTAAATTAGTCTTATTTATATTTTTGTCACGTTATTAGAGTAAACCCGAACTACATGTCGTCTTAGGATGCGCCACGGAATAAAATGGGTGATGCGCATAAACCAAAATTGGCGGACCGAGTCCATACTTCAAAATTCGAGGAGCGGTCGGTATTAATTTAATAAAAAGTAAATGGAAGCGAATAGAAGCATTATTTTAATTTATATGCATTCGTAAGGGGCCGTTCATTAATTACGTGAGACAATTTTGGCGATTTTTCGACCCCCCCCCTCCTCTTGGTGAGATTTTGCTCGACCCCCTCTCCCCCCCCTTAATCTCACGTGAGATTTTTTAAAATGCATGGTTTTAATGTAAATAAGTTAATCTGTGCTTGATTCCATTAGATTTATTAAAAAAAAACAATTTGCTTATAATTGTTTACTTAATTTAACCCAGTTTTCTCGCAATTTTACACTCTTTCTTTCGGAAAAAAAATTACGTGATATTTGCCGAGACCCCCCCCTCCCCCCACGTGAGATTTGGTGAGGTTTGGCTCGCCCCCTCCCCCCTAAACACCTCACGTAATTAATGAACGGCCCCTAAGTTGTTTTTAATGTGTACACGTATAGGCATAACCTAGGTAGGTTATAGCCTATAACTTATAGATAATGTTTGGTGGTGTAGAAAAATAATTTAAACTATTAAAAAATACTAATTCAGTTAATAAATATTTTAAATACTTTTTAGCAGTATAAGAATTGGTCTAAAACCAGTAGCGTGCCGTAAAGAGGGCGCGGGGGGCGAAATTCGAAATTCAATGCAGTTTGGCTAGTTTGTTAACTATCCAGCTTGTTTATAAACACATTAGCCGTGACATATATTTTATGCGATTTGTGATTCAAAGATCAGGACTTGACACCTCACTTGACACTCGATTATTGCGAAAGATATCTGAGTCTGTGAAAGGATTTCGGGTGGATTTCGTGGATTTTAAAGCGATTTCGGAGATTTCGGCGAGATTTTAAAGCGATTTCGGAGATTTCGGCGGGATTTCGGTGATTTTGAAAAGATTTCGGTGATTTCGGTGATTTCGGAAGAATTTCGGGGATTTCGGACGAATTTGTGACACGATTTCGGGGAGTGGTTAACCCCTCGTAAAAAATATTATTGAAAATATTAGAAATTGTTAAATACCTACCTCTGAAATTATTAACTTTGGGTATAGGAAATAGAAGGGTTTTTTAATTTTCTATTTGATTATGTAAAGCAAACAAAAAGTTATGGACTATTGCGCATTGGCAAATTTTAATGAAAAAAAAGATAATAACTCGAACTATTGACTGATGTAAAGAATATGGTATAGCCATTTTTTTCAGAATTTTATGTAGAATTTTTAAAATATAATAATATACGGGGTGTCATTTGAAATAACAAAGTTAATATTCCTTCCGGTAAAACCGGAAGTAGCATTAATTCAAAATATTTTCCCCGAAACTTCTAAGAAACCACTAACGTGAAACACCCTGTATATGGTATTATTTATATATTTTTTTAAGTATACTTAAAAAAGTTGAAATAGGTATTTTATAACCACTGGATTATTTTTAATAATTAATATTATTGTATAAATTTATTTAAATAATATTTTTTGATTTAATTAATAATAACACCCTATATATGCTAGTAATTTTTAACATTAAAAATTTATTTCAGAATGTAATTGTAATGGATACTCCAACAACTGTTTCTTCGACGAAAAACTTTATGAACTTACCGGCCATGGTGGACACTGCCTTGACTGCACAGCCAACCGAGACGGCCCTAACTGCGAACGTTGTCGTGAGAACTACTTTATGAGAGAAGATGGCTATTGCATCGCTTGTGAATGTGACTCGGTAGGTTCAAGAAGCCTTCAGTGTAACAGCGAAGGAAAATGCCAATGCAAACCCGGAGTTACCGGAGAAAAATGTGACCGCTGCGCTTCCAACCATTACGACTTTGGAGCGAGCGGTTGCAAAAGCTGCGACTGCGAGCCTGCAGGATCTATCAACAATGAGCCAAGGTGCGACCCTTGGACAGGGTTCTGTATGTGCAAAAGCAACGTGGAAGGAAAACATTGCCGGGAGTGCAAACCTGGCTTCTTTAATCTCGACATGGAGAACGAATTTGGTTGCAGTCCTTGTTTCTGCTATGGTCAAACTTCTGAATGTACTTCTGCGCCAGGTTTCTCCAAATACCAGATCGAGTCCGGATTTGCAAAAAGTAATGAGAGATGGTACGCGATGGATGAATACAATAGACATATCGAATCAAGATATGACGGAGTCAGTCAAAGTATTGGAGTACAAGCTCTTGCGGATGAATCTGCCTACTTTGTTGCACCAGACAGATTTTTGGGCGATCAAAGAGCATCTTACAATCAACTACTTTACTTTACTCTAAGAATAGGAGATCCTAGAGCTATTCCAACTGCCAGAGATATTATTCTTGAAGGTGCTGGAGGAGAAGTATCCAATACAATATTTGCTCAGAAAAATCCCACTCCTAATGTCCAGGTTAATATAAACAAATATAAAATTAAATAATTTTATTTGTAAATATTTTCTTATTTAAGGTTCAAGAATATAAATTCCGTCTTCACGAACATCCTGACTTTGGTTGGCAACCAAGGCTATCGGCTATTGCATTTATTTCTATCTTAACAAATTTAACAGCAATAAGAATTAAAGGAACATATTCCCCGCAAGGTGTTGGATTTTTAGACGATGTAAAACTAGAAACGGCTTCTAGAGGAGTAGCCGGAGTACCCGCTAAATGGGTAGAACTCTGTAAATGTCCCGACGGTAATATTTAAAATAAACGTTTAAACTAAAATTCTAAAATTTTGTTTACAATTTTAGGATATGTGGGTCAATACTGCGAGTCTTGTGCTCCAGGATACAGACATTTTCCTGATCAAGGACCTTTTAATCATTGTATACCATGTGATTGTAATAAACATGCTGAAATCTGCGACTCCGAGAGTGGTAGATGTATTTGTCACCACAACACTGCTGGCGAAAATTGCGAATTCTGTGCAAGAGGATACTATGGTAATGCTTTAGGAGGAACTGAAACCGATTGCCAGCCGTGTGGTTGTCCTAATGGAGGAGCCTGTATTCAAGTTGATGAAGAAAATATAATGTGTACCGAATGCCCGGCAGGATACGCCGGTGCTAAGTGCGAATCTTGCTCTGATGGATATTTTAGATCGCAAAACAATCAATGTGTACCGTGTGAGTGCAATAATCATATAGATACCAATGGAATTGGTAATTGTGATCCAACAACAGGTGAATGTCTAAGGTGTATTCACAACACTGCAGGATTCCACTGTGATGAATGTTTAGTAGGTAAGAAGCAGAAATTTATATTTTGCTAGAATGTAGGTATTTAATATTACTTTTATAGGTCACTACGGAAATCCAATTTTACCAGAAGGCTGTAAGATTTGTGAATGTTATCACCTGGGAACACAAGCTAATAATGACGGAGCTCCAATTTGTGATCAAAGCTCAGGTTCTTGTGTCTGTAAGCCTCACGTCGTAGGCACAAATTGTGACAAATGTGAAGATGGATTTTACAACTTGCAAAGTGGTGCAGGTTGTCAGTCTTGTGACTGCGATACAGTTGGTTCTCTTAACCATACTTGCGATTCGTATACTGGACAATGTTTCTGCAGACCAGGAGTGACAGGGTATGTAATTAAAATAAAAATAATAAATAAAAAAATAATTATTTATGTTTAGATTACGATGCGATCACTGTGAAACGCTGAAATACGGTTTTTCAATAAAAGGTTGTACAGATTGTGACTGTGATGGAATTGGATCAACAGATTTACAGTGTGATGCTTCTGGACAATGTCCTTGCCTTAACAACGTGGAAGGTCGCAGATGCGATCGATGCAAAGAAAATAAATTTGCCCGTCAAAAAGGATGTATTGATTGCCCTGATTGCTATAACTTAGTTCAAAATGCTTCAAGAACTCATAATAATAAATTACAGAAATTAAACGAAATTCTCGATGAAATTGAAAGAAACCCGACAGTTATAGCTGACGATCAATTTCCAGATGAACTAAACAAAGTTAAAAAAGAAATTGCTACTTTTTATCAAGATGTAAAAGAAGCAACAGGAGATAACACTATTGTTAAACAGGTCAACGATATCAGGGACAAAAAGGAAGAAATAAGTAAAACGTTAATTGGAATTGATGAAAACATCTATACAACTGAAGAAAAGGCCATTAAGACCAAAGAAGTTATGATTGAAACAGATAAACAGTTTAAAGAAGCTGAATCTAGGCTAAACGATCTTGTCAAACACTTTGAAGTTGACGCTAAACAGGTTCTGGAAGATGCGCGAAATAGATCAAAAACAGCTGGGCAGCAATCTGATAAAATGACGGAAATCGCTCACGAAGCACGCAACTTGGCTGATGAATTGGACGTAAGAGCTGACGCCTTAACTCTTAAAACAGAAGAAACTAGAAATAAATCAATAGATGCTTTGGAAAAAGCTAGAAATGCTACTTTAATACAGCAGAAAATTATTGAAGAAGCTCGTATAATTAAAAACGAATTAATTGGCGTTGAACAAACTTTAAATAACACACAAAAACTAAGCAAAGAAGTAAAGGAAAAAGCAAGTGCAGCAAAAAAGGAAGCTTTGGAATTGTTAAACGAAGTTAATAACCTTATTGTCCCTCACATGAATATTGAAGAGCTAAAAGCAAAAGTCAAAGGATTGGAAGATGAAGCCTATAATATAAGAAACAAATCCGATAACTTATTAATCAATAATGATAAGTTATTGGATGATATCAAAGAAAAATTGTTGGAAGGCGAAGATCTATTGGACAATGCTAAAAGGCAACAAGTATCGACAGACGAATTAATGGATGAAATCAACATTTTGAAAGCTCAAGCTGACAAATCTGTAATTCTGGGAAATGAGATTATTAAAAAGGCAAAGGAATATTATGATTTGTTCCAAGGTAAATTTTAATAAAATTTAATAATTAATTTAACAGGTATTAATTATATTGGTTTTATAGATTTTGACCGACAAACAGCTAAAAGTAAACAAGAAGCAGAAGACGCACTTAATACCATAGAAGAAATAGTTGCAATAATCAACGAAACCAATCAAAATATAGGTCAAGCTGAGGTATCTTTGAACGAAGCTAAAGGCTCTGCTGAACGGGCCTTAGAAAATGCAAAAAATGCTGATTACTTGGCCAAAAATGCATCGGCAAATGCGCTAAAAATTAAAAATTCAGCCGAAGTCCTTTACCAAAATGCTAGCGATTTGGGAAACGAAGCAAATCTGATGTTTGATAGAGTTACGAACACGGAAGGAAGATTAAAAAATCTTATGGAAATTACTAGGAGTAATGATACGTTGATTAATGATGCTAAAGAAAAGGTAAACTTACCTACATTATTGAATTGTTTTAACTAAATAAATATGTTTTAGGTTGGTAGAGCCGGAAAGGATACTGAAGAGGCCTCAAAGAGCGTTAACGATCTTTTAGACAATGTAAATGCCATAATTAACGAACTGAACAACTCGCCCAATATCAATGAAGATGAAATTGATAAGTATGAAGTTGAAATTAAGGAAATTGAAGCTAAAATAAAAGATGCACAATTGGAAGAAACATTGGAAGCTTTAAGGGAAAAGCGTAAAGAACAAGATGAACTTATTGATAAATATAATATGGAAATTGAGAAATTGGAACGTGATGTATCTAATATTGAACTAATTACAAAGACACTTCCCTTTGATTGTTTCAAACGAGTCGAGTTGGAACCTTAAATACTACATTTTATAACAAATTTTTATTTAAAAAATGCCAAAGACTCAAATAATCTGTAAACTTTCTATGTTTTGCTGCATTAATTCAATAAGTGCCAAATTTTGTTTTAAAATAGTTTGTAATCATATTTTTATTGTAATTAAAAAATATTGTACTGATGGTGATATGTCACTAATAGCCATATTTTGTGTTCTTTAATTAATTTTAGTGTCTATTATAAAAAATTAGTAGGTATACATGATTTTTTAAATTTTTGTTAAAGCAACAATAAAACTTAAGTTTTTATTAATTGGTTTTTATTAAAAATTTAAAATAAATAAACTAATATTTGAATTATACATATATGTAGGTATATGTATACATTACACTATAGTGTATACATTATGATAATTCGTTTAAAGACACCACTTCTTTGGAAACGTAATAATCGAGTGTCCCCATTTCAGCTTCATACAAAATATTATTTATTTGATGTTGAACTTCAGCTCTTAAATGGTCGTTGAATTTTCTTAGTTTAATTGCCACATGTTCACCATAAACTCCACAATCATCTCTTTTGTCTTGCAACTCCTGAAGAATTTTATAAACATCATTTATTTTGGGATCATTAATACATGTTTTTTTTCTTTGCGGTATTGTAGCTGCCTCGTCTTCTTGACACAACGGTAAAGAAGGTTCGTCAATATCTTCGTCATTTAAATTTTCAGATTTAATATAAATTTCGTCAACCTAAAATAAAAAAATGTTACATTTAAAGCCTTTTATTAGTATATTATGCAACAAGTTTTATAATAGGAATTTTAATTAGGCACGAGCAAAGCGAGTGTTTAATAAAGGAGTATTTAGGGAAGTTCATAAAACGAATTGCATACTATACATTTTCTATGATACTATCTTAACAAATATGGTAAAAATAAAAATTTATTTAATTGTTCTTGTTTGGTAAATATAGATTATTATTATTTACTTGGTTAAAATTCAAAGTTTTTCTTGTTTTATCTTCATCTTTATCAGAATTAAGGCTTGAACTTCCAGCAATTGTTATATCCATATTCTCAGCATTATTTTGAACGGTATTGATTTGATTGCTTAAGAAGTGGTCCATACAACCCTCTGCTATATTTGCTGAGCACCATTGTCCATGTTGCTTAAAATCTGTAACGTTGGTACCCGAGTCTACCAAAATCTTTGCTGAAGATCTTCTTAAATAATGGCCAGTGTAACAAGCAGGGTCAGGCAACTTTAAAAATTTTGCTACTACGCTGGCCATGCTGCCAAATTTATTTATGCCAATTGGCTGTTTTGTAAATTTTCCCCGCTGAAAGTTTAAGAAAAATCGGGTACTTGTTAGGTTTGGAGGTCTAAGTTCCATATATTTCTTGCAGGTGTTGTAAAAAGTACCTCCAATAACAAACTGACGTTCCATTTTTGTTTTTGTGTCAGGAATGTGAACTAACAGAGCAGTCTTAAGGTCTTCAATATGACTTGTTTCAATTTTCATCAATTCTTGCCTCCGACAAGCTCCCATTATGCCAAAAATTAATCCAACCTAAAATACTTATAATTTTAATATTTGGCAGTCTACTTAAATTTGTATTGCTACGCCGACGCCGGCGTTTTTAAAATTTTATTGCAGCACCGTCCTTGCCGTTGGTGTTGTGTAAGTGTACTAAGGTTATGTTTAGTCTTTAGCTACGCTTTATTACTCTTTATTTAATTTGTCATTTTTGTCATATATTGTTCTCTTTACGTTCTGTTTTGTGTGTTTGTGCAACTTATTTGTTTTGCAATTAGTTTATTTAAAAATTATAAGTTGGTGTTTAGTTTTTATTGCATATTAGGTAGGTATTTTCTTTTGAAAGCGTTAATCGTAAGTATTGTATTTCTATAAACATAATTATAGGTTATGTTAACATTCATATTATTATTTCAATACGGTCTTTTTAGCAAAAGAAAAAATAAATAATGCAGCAAAATGTTGAATAGACAAGAAGCAAAAATTACATTTACTGAATAGTAATAATTAGTTATATTATTTTTTTTAGAGGTTCCAGGACAACATTCGTGATATTCATACGAACATCACGTCGTGATTTTCACAAATTTTATTCATACTGATATCATACGGAAGTCACCGCGTGATAAATGAAAATCATACGAACGTCACGTCGTGATTTTCACAAATTTTATTCATACGAATATTATACGGATGCGCGAGAAATGAAAATCATGTCTTGATTTTTATGCCATCGCTGTTTGCGATTGGCCAATGGATTAAAAATCATGTCGTGATTTTTTATGCCAAAGGTGTTTGGATAATCATTTTTGCGCCACGTTCGTACACTAACAGAAAAATTATGTTGAATCAGCAGTTTTTACGGTTAAATACATTCAATATTTACTTGGATTTAAATTAACTATACACACATGATCAAAATTGTTGCAGAAAAATTATGTTGAATCAGCAGTTTTTACGGTTAAATACATTCAATATTTACTTGGATTTAAATTAACTATACACACATGATAAAAATTGTTGCATATTTCTGTATTTTAATTTTCGCTTTGTACATATAACATTCCGTTTTTTGTTGTTTTGGAATAAATTTTCATTTAATAGTTATAATACGTAAAATAAAGAAAATTTAATATATTAAAGTATATATATATTTTTGTAGGAAATATTAAAAATAAAACAAAATATAATTTTTAAAAAGTGAAAAAAAAATTATTAACAGAAACGATTTAGGTGAAAAAACATTTTAAATATAAATTTTATTTATAGAATGAAGGTGATTATTTTCTCAAAATTGTTTATAATTGTAATGTACACTAGGGTGTTTCAAAAAAATCGACTTTTTCTTTTTCTTCAAATGGTCAGCAAATTCTTTCAGAGGATGTCAAAACAAAGACCTCGTTAAAATTTGAGCTTTTTTTGAAGATTTAGAGGTCGCGGATCGCAATTTTCTATTTCCCATTTAAATAACATAGGAATTTTTTTTTTTTAACTTTGGAATTTTATACGTCTATATCGAATCAACTTATGACAAGGAACATCTTAGATTTTTATAGTAAATTTAACGCTCTATAAAAAATGTCTCTTATAATTTTTCTATAAATTGATTTCTTCCAGAGTTATTCGAGGCCAAAGTTTGATTTCCATCGAATTTTCTCGTTTTTTCAACTTTTAGCATCATGTAGTAAAAAAATCACATATTTATATCTGGAACATAGAAAGTGTTGTAAAAAAAACAAAAAAACAAAAAAACGTCACTTTTTTCCAAAGCCTACTACAAAGTTTTAATGAAAATATGAGATGTGTATAATATGCAAAGTAATTTATTTATAAATGCATTTTTCTCGAAAATGGTGCATCTGAGCAATTCAAATCAAGAGTACCTATTTTTCGTAAAAAACTATAAATTCTCATAATTTCATAAAAAAAAAATTATTAACCCAGAAAAAAGTTGGGGCTATTTTTGTAACTTTGCCCCCTCCAAATGTTACGCCAATGATTAAATTTTAACAGTTTTGATCATAGATCTAGATTCAGCATGTCAAAATTACCAAAGTACCTACCGAAAATTCATTTGTTCATGTTCAACCCTCTATAGGAATAATTTTAAAAAAATTATCCTCTTAGGCTCCTATTCAGGGGGCCGTAGCTCCTTTAGGGAGCATTTTTTGATACATGTTTATTAAACAAAAAAAGTGTTATTTTTATACGAATAATGCACTGTTTAAGTTTGGCCCCCTGATTTCGGGACACCCGTATAATGATAATTGTACCATAAATGTTAAAAAAACGCGAAAATTCGATGGAAATCAAACTTTGGCCTCGAATAACTCTGGAAGGAATCAATTTATAGAAAAATGATAGAAGACCTTTTTTGTAGAGCGTTAAATTTACTATGAAAATCTAAGATGATCCTTGACATAAGTTGATTTGATTCAGACGTATAAAATTTCAAAGTTAAAAAAAAAAATTCCCATGTTATTTAAATGAGAAATAGAAAATTGCGATCCGCGACCTCTAAATCTTCAAATTAAAAGCTCAAATTTTGACGAGGTCTTTGTGTTGACATCCTCTGAAAGAATTTGCCGACCATTTGAAGAAAAAGAAAAAGTCGATTTTTTTGAAACACCCTAATGTACACTATGTATTTTATTGTCAATAAATTATTTATCTAAATACTGTCGTCAAAGTCATCATCCTCGTCGGAAGTATCGTCTTCGAGGAGGATGATTGGTTCCGAAACTTTTATTTTTATTATTTCCTACAAAAATACTTCAATATATTAATTTTTCTTTATTTTACGTATTATAACAATTAAATGAAAATTTATTCCAAAACAACAAAAAACAGAACGTTATACAAAGCGAAAATTAAAATACAAAAATATGCAACAATTTTGATCATGTGTGTATATACAGATAATAATACAGTTAATTTAAATTCAAGAAAATATTGAATGTTTAAACTGTTGATTCAATTGTTAACATACTTTTTCTCTCAATGTACGAATGTGCCGCAAAAATTAATATCCAAACACCGATGGCATAAAATATCATGTCGTGATTTTTTATGCTATCGGTGGTTGGATATTTATTTTTGCGGCACATTCGTACATTGAGAGAAAAAGTATACATATATGTTGAATCAACAGTTTTTGTGGTTAAAATGGATTTAAATTAAATTAAATCCAAGAAAATATTGAATGCATTTAACCGCAAAAACTGTTGATTTAATTATAATTAATAACATACTAGACCAGGGTCGATAATTTTTGAAACAAAAAAAAATTACAGTAGAATGAAACCCATTGGAAAAGGAGGAGAATATAATAAAAAAGAAAGAAAAAATAAATTACGGGCGATCTGACTTCGGGAAGTGGGAGGGGGGGGCTTTAAGGGTAAAAAATGGTTTATCTCGATTTCCGGCAAAAATACAAGTCCTATGGAAAAAAGTTAAATAGCAAAGTTGTAGGTAATAAAAAGA